TGTGCTTTCACCAGCAGCCATTATGCTCCATTATTAAGAGGCAGGAAGGAATATTTATTCCTCTTGTGAGCATTCAATCTCTTTTACAACACTCCCTGCTCCAGTAATTTCTTTTGACAAGCCTCCAAAGACATAGAAATTAATTTTGTCTCTGGTAACATCAGATCTGCCTTTACCACAGACAGAGCCAAAGGACAATGCCTGTTTGGTACAATTCCACCTGTGCTGGAATATAAAACAGCAACAGTTTCTTGGCAGATCACCATCCGCCCCATTCAGAACCACGTGAGCACAGCAGCAGCAAACATGCAGACAGCCCCTGGTTTACACCACTCTCACAGTTATTAACACCGTCTCAACAATAAAGCTAAAGCATTAGCAGCAGCAAAGGGGAAATGGCTTAAAAAACCCCACCATGTTCCCCTTTTAAATAACATATCAGCTTCTCTACAATAGGAAGAAGGAGATGAGAAGAAATATTCCATATTTCTGAGATCTACATTTCTTTTTCTTAATTCTGTGCACCTAGGAAGCAACTGACTAATATTTTAACGTTTCATGCATAAAATCTTCACGTTAGTAAAGAAAGTACAAACAATCTGTAAAACCCATTCACTGACTTCATTTCAAATACAATAATTCCCTATGCTTGCCCAAAATTCAAAAAACTTACCTTGTGCACACTATAACTCACTCTAAGCTCTCAGTAGCTCTGCCTGGAGATTATATAGATCTATAGCCCCTCCCATAAAGAGAATTGCAAGTGGTTCTCTGAATGGGAAACTCCTCTCTCTTAAGGAAATAAAACCAATTAGGTCTGTTTAGTTACTTCTCACCTACAAAAAATAATTTCCTGACTCATGCTGACTATGTACAAATGTAAGATAGATGAGAGGTCATGATGAATGGGAACATCTGTTACAGTACAAAATGGTATGCTTCCTCTTTTCACTGCTTGGCAACCTGTTAGTTAAAAAAAATTGTGATGGCTGAAAAGTTCACAAAGTTTAAAAGAATACTGTTGTCCCAGTCAGACGTTCATTTTTATATTTCATCGGTTTGTACTTTTAACCAATTGCCGCTTTACAACATCAACTAATTCTGCTTGAATCCTTCATAAGCTTCTATCCTGTGCTTAATGATGGGGATATTCCTTCAGGACATTTCCACTGAATTTCATTTTTGCCCATAGGAGGGGTTTTTATTCTTTTTCTGTCCAAAATGTTGCCCAGAATTTGACTTGCTGAAAATGCTCCCCAAAGAACACTGTAGGAGGCAGTGAACGAAGTACAGCATGAGAAAGCAAACTGCCCTCTGCACTCCTGATGCTTTTTTGTGACAACTGTATTGATTTCAAAAAGTCAGCGCAGCATAAACTCCCATGAACCATCCTGCCTATCTAGCTGGTTAATGCTGTTGTAGCCATTACCTGCAGTCAAGGTCAACATCTCTATAAAATTCTGCTGAATTGCCCTGAGTGTAATTGCAAGCTGGGATACTTTTCCCGTGTTACACATGCAGGTTGTATGAATTATAGTGTGTCAAATAAAAAACCTCAAGTTGTTTGTAGTACAGGGGGCTCTCTTCTTCAGATCCTTCCTGTTCATGTACTTGGCTGCTTTGTAGCTGAAAATGATCCTTACCCCATCAGTCTTCACCACTGGTACCTGAGAGACCAATGTAGTCCATGGCTTGATATAAAAATAAGCTTAACAATTTATTTAGAGCTAGAACCACAGGAGGATAAGGCATCAAAACAGTCACCACTGCAATGGACTGTCTTTCAGGACATGCCTGGTCCCTGAATGGAACCCTCTGGACCCCATATGGCACAGAAGGAGAGCCAGGCTTCCCAGAAGGGCACTCCTCATTGACAGCATATCTTGTAGCCTCTGCCTTCTTGTTTGGGCTCCTTTCTTTCTTATGGTCCTCTGTCCCCTTCTTACATTTGGGGAGATTCTTCTCTCCAGCCTCCAAAAGCCTGCAGTGTGGCTGAGTCACCTATGCAGAGGTGTCCATGCCACTGTGCATGTTCCATGGCACCTGCTGGCTTCCAGCTGCTGCTCCACAGAGCCCGGCTCTGCAGCCTGTGCTGTGGCACCATGGCCAGCCCTACAGGGGAGCCAGAGAGAGCCCCAGGCCTCTCTGCTCTGTGCAGCAGAACCCCACTCCTGGTATTGCTATGGAAGCACAACCTGCACACATTTTATTTTCTGTTAACATCCAACTCAAAATAATTTGTTTGTATTTCATAATGAAACAGAACTCTGCATAGGAAGGTTTTCTTTGCTTGCTTGAGGAATAACAGCTTTCCTGTTTAGCCTTCTTGGAGCGCTGAGTTTTGCTGTTAGCAAAGTTTTTTTGACGAGGAGCAGATCAAACTCCACTGCTGGAAACAGTGTTTCCTGCAATTTTGGACTGAAATGGCTTATGATGCAGAATCTCAGATAATGTGCAAGAAGGAAGCTTTTCCTGCATAGATGTGTGCACCAAGGTGCATCTGGTAGCATTCCACAAACTCAAACTCACACTTAGGTAGCCTGGCTGGATTAATAATTTGTAGGCCTGGCCATAATGAACTCTAGAAGCTAAAAGTCTAGTACTGTCTATCTCCTAATTTAGCAGGATTTTTGGAAATGTCCCTTCACTGGGCTTGTAAAGCATTTTGGAAAGTGCTGTTCTTCTGTTTTCTTCCTACCAGGTTCATTTTCCAATTTTTTTTTTCTAATTTTCTTTTTTCTATACTTACATCATGGCAATATTAAGCATCAGATTTGGTTACCAACATTGATTGGAACAAAGTCTCCTTCTATGCAAATGTTTGTCTGCTGCATGAGGCCTCTTCACGAGGCCTCTTCACAAGGCTGTTATCGTGTGCTGTAAGTGTATGTAAGCCCTAATATTTTATTTGAAAGTCAATGGAACCTGAATTTCTGGTGCTGTCCTAAATGTGTAGAAAGAAATCACTTCTGCCTTACCTGGCTCTGCAAAACAGATTGTGTTGTTTCTTCCATTACACTTTGTTCAAGTGAATTTCTGGTAGAATCATACAAGGGGTTTGAAATAATTAATTTATGAGGAAAAATAAATCAATTTTGCAAGGAAAACATTGCAGAGATATCTTAAAAAATCCAATTCACCCCAAGCCTTAAAGAGGTTATCTTCAAACAAGTCTACTTCTTTAAAAGATAAGTGATGCAGTGAGTCTTCTCTTCTTTAGCTCTTATTCTGAAGCTTATTTGCATGCAGAAAATATCTTCTCCAACAAGTTACATTCTGACAATACTAACACCGCATTGATCTTTTTTTGAAATTAATAAATTCCCTACCCTACAAATAGTTCTTCGCTTCCATATTTTGCCAAGCATTTGATATATCAATAAAGACAAAGCTGCTGTTACATTGCCAGAGTAATAGAATGCTTTATTTCTGGTTGGGGTTGTTTTGCTTTTTTAGCACTGTTTTTCACTACCACAATACTAATTTACTGAGCTGGAGTTGATGTTTTGCCTTTCTTCCAGTATTCTGGGTCTCACCAAAGGTGACAAGGCTTTCATCTCTTAAAAACTTTCAACACAGTTTCGACGTAATGATCATCTGGTGGGGGTTTCCTTGGGCTGCCAGGCTGCAGGAACTTCTTAATTGTAGGCATATTGCTCATTTTGGTTTTAAATGCCTAAAAATAATAAGAAAACCAGAGTAAGACAGAAATTCCAGCACACAGAAACATGATTTACACAGCATGGGGAGATGATCAGTTCATGATTTCCCTCCAGCTCCTGAATATATGCATGCTCAATAACAAAATTACCTGCAACTGAGGAAACTCGGACAGCACAGCAGGAATTTTCTCCTCCACTGCTAAAATTGCTTCAATTAGCTGAACATCTGCCCAACTAAATTTGTTGCCCACGAGAAAGTCTTGGCCATGTTGTTTCAAAACCTGGAGAATACAGGAGAATGTGGGCTGCAGATGAGAATGGGACATATGTTGCCTAGCAGCTAAGCCTCACAGCACAGCTGTAGACCTGAACAGCAATTATATCTGAAATTTCAGGGTGGAGTTTTCAGCTGGAAGCTGTGAGCCTAAATCAATTCTCTGTTGTTGGGGGGAAAAAATGAACTCTTGTTCTTTTCATGTTCTAGTACACAGACTACAAACTCTGGTCATTCAGTAATGAGGAATGATGATAGGCACTGGGAACAGAGACAAAATCATATGCTTAAGTACCCTAATAAGAGGCATAGAGTTAGAAACAGGGATAATCGAGAAACTAGGAAGCAACTTAGAGAACTTATAAAACGGCCATTTATTTAATTTAAAGTTATGTCCAATGTTGATACCAGAAAGCAAATTTAGAAATGCAGAATTACAAAGCTAACCAAGAAAAATCCCTGCCTTTGGGAACAGGTTATTATGGTCATAAGAACTTATATGATGTTAATATTTTATTATTGTTTTCCATCAAAACTAGATGAATGTTATCAAAGTGGGAAATGTTGCCAGATGCATGAATCATATGGGTTTGGTTTGTTGCTTTTGGAACTGGGATGGGCAGAAATCTATGACTATGTTTTACTAAAGTACTCCTAATCTCTCTACCTAATTTATTTGCAAGGGATTTTTGCATTCTTCCAATGAAACTGTTCCAAATTAAGTTAAGTATAGCAGAGAGATGTGCTCTCAACAAGTAAAAGTATGGAACTATTCCTTCAAGGAAAAAAAATTATGCATGCTTGCTTTTACTTCAGTGAAAAGTTTTGCTGTATAGCTGAGAACATATTGCTTTGTTTCCTTTGTAGATGTTCAAATACCACAGCCCTGACAACACAAGCCAACAAACAGAGGAAAACATGCTGCTGTGTTTCCCCTTCTTTGAGATAGCCAAGAAAGCTGAGGATTTGGAACTGACCTGCAATACAGACAAGTTCTTATTTTAAACAAACTGTTTTATAATTTTAAATATAATATATAAAAACACATCCTTGTTTTCACTTACCTTTTCAAAGACTGGAAAGTATCTGTTAGTTGCCCTCTCCTTAATTGAGTCAAGATTTTTCTCCTTTGCATCAGGTGGAGAGAAAGGAAACATCAAAATCATTTGCATCAGATCTGATATTCCTTCCACATACATGTCAATCCTATTGATCAGGAGAAGACAGTAGAAAAGAGCACAGAAGTTATTTTTTCTGTTTTCCAATTAACTAAGGCAACTTGGAGGAATTTTATACCACCAATATAGTGGCAATTTTCACAGCCAAAACTAAACACAAACTAAACCTAAATGTTTTTCAAAAATAATAAAAGCCTGCTTCTGTTTCGGAGCATTTCAGAAGCAGTTGTTAAAACTTATTGTGTTAGCTTTTCTCATACCTTTATGCTGGATTTACAGGATAGAATTTGGTTTATATAATGTAGCTATCAAATAACAGATTGCTCATTAAGGGAAAGGCAGTGTTACGTACAGGGCTCTCTCCTTCAAGTCTTTCCCATAGAGATTGTATTTCCCTGCTATGTAGCTGAGGATGGCTCTGGTCTGCACCATCTTCATCCCATCGATCTCAACCAGGGGCACTTGCTGGAACAGCAGGACTCCATCTAGGGTAGAGAGTTAGCCTGTTAGTTTCTCCTAGACTGCAAGCAGGACAGGAGAACAAGAGACTGAGCACATTTCTCTTGCAGTGTAGGAGACCACTGATGTCTTGTCCTAACTGTAAAACTCCATGCAGTAAACTAACATTGTGGGAAAGATCAAATAGCCTGTATCACACTTCTGTAGCTGGGTCATTGCACTGCAGCTGGGCCCTGGCTTTACAGCCTTACCAGAGCTTCACTGACTGCTGGGAGCTGGCAGTGCCGGCTCCTTTGCACTTCTGGACCCTGCCTCATGCTGGTAGAAAAAGCCTGAACCAGCATTTTCAACCCAAGGAATAAGAGGAGAATAAAGATATATGTTAAATCTGAATTTAAAAAAAAAAAAAAAATTATTTTGAATGTAGATCAATTCCCTGTCAGGAACAAGTGAGTAGAAGGAATGAGAGGGCTAGTACTGCAGCAACACCAAGTTTCTGGAACAAAGGAAGGGGTCAGGCAACTTTAAATATCATGAAGCTACAGATCTAGGGGCAGAGGCTGTGACAGCTGTTGGTGTTTAAGTAAGTTTTGCATAGTCACTGCAGGACAAGAGTTGGAGTGTCCCCATAGATTTTCTTTATAGGCCTGGCCTCAGTGCCATTCCACAACAATTTAGGCCTATTTAAAAATATCTTTGTAATCCCATTTTCCACTGGTGCTGGTAGGAGTATTTTTCTGAGCCTTCAGTGAGGCATCTCTGAGAGCTAAGTTGACATAGAGATTTAGCATTGCAAAGTCAGTCTATTCTAGATCAGTATTCTGCTGGACTAATTCACTGTCTTTGGAAATACTCCCTCCTCCATGTACATACTAAGGGCATCCAGAGAACAATCCTGCCCTGTTAAAAAAAAAAATCACAGCAAAACTCCAAATCTAAAGAGGCAAATGTCAATTTGCATTGCTCAAAGTTAATGACATCTTTTAAGTGCTCAATTTTAATCTGTTTGGTGAATTCTTTCAGGTATAAAAGTTCATTTTAACAGGCACATCTGTTTGATTTTTTTCTCCACAGAGCTGTTAAAATACCTCGCTAGGCTAGAATTAATAAGCCTTCTTCACTTGTTCTATATTATTAATTTACAGTTTCAGTTCAAAGAATAGTTCTCTCTGCAGCAACAAATAGCTTGTATTTGTTTCTTATAAACATTCACTGAAAAATCACGTGTCTTCATGTATTTCCAGAACACACCTCTGTAGCTTAAAGAAGAAGCATTACTTGGTATCTATCTAGCAGAAACAGTAGAATGAGAAAACTAACAGCGCTGCAAGGGTATTTTTCAGCAGGAAGATGTGAAGTGAAAAAGAAAATTTGACTTTCTGGCCCTTGACAAAAACTGATGCAACAAATGTGACTGAACTGAATCCATGGTTTATTTCTTATCTACAGAAAAGAGGAATCCCTCTTAAAACCAGTAGTGGACTGCTTCTCCTCCCTTGTTCTGCAGTGAGGATGAACCACTCTGTATAATCACTGCATAGAATATATATATGCAGGATTAAAAGCAGTTTACCAGTAATTTCAGGGGTTGGATTGTGCTGTCCAAAGGTAGTCTGCAGAGCATACATAAAGAAGCAGTCACCTAGACCTACTATTTGCAACCAATCAGCAGAGCTTGTTGAGATCCAGGTAGCAACCTGGGCAACCTGTGGCTACACAGATTGCACCAGACTTGTCATCCTTCAGCGTACAGGTCTGCCCAGGGCAAAGCTATTTAACACTCTCAGCCTCCAAAAGAGCTGTCTGTCTTCAAGCTGCCTGTAAGGGACAGGCCCTGGCCCAGGCATCTTCCTGATATCGTGGGGACCAAAAGTCACACCTGAACCAGCCTAATGATGTGGTGATATCTAAACACAGGATACCCTGATAAAAAGCGTGTTGGTAGGAAGAGAAAAAAAGATTAGAGGGAGAAGTAATGTGGAGTTATTTCCACTGAGTCCTGCCCTGCACAACTGGCAACATTCCAGAGGTCCCTTTATCAGGATGACTAATTTGTCTCTCTTCAACACATTGTATTAAACCACAGTTTTTTCTGTGTGTTCTCACCCTCTAAAGCTCAATATATAGATATAAAATGCTTGATCTTCTTTATAAAAACTTCCCTATCCTTTTCATGACTATTTAATTTTTCTCCCTGGAGATGAATAAGCTTGGATGCTGTAACCAGGATTGTATCACTCTGTCTAGATTACTAGTCCTAAGTCCTAAGAAGGGCTTTCATTTGGGCTTTCAGTACCTGTGCTATCATATTTAGAGCTATAACTGGTTTCTTTACACTGCACTGCCCTCCCACATTGTCCAAGTCCCAGCCAACTGGACTGACAAATTAAATTCTGATCTACTTGATACCACTTTTTTATTTTTGTTCATTTTATCTCTACTGTCAGAATTTCTTGAAACACAGTTAATCCTTTCTGAGCTCAGCCTGAATGCCATCAAGTCCTCTTTTGAGTCTCCTGGTATGTCTTGGCAAGCTCAGCCTGCTGTGAGGTTCTCTCATGTGTCTTGGGCAGCAGGTAAGCTGTGGGGCACGTGCATTCTGTGATGCTCCTCACAGTCTCAACTCCTTCCCCACCTTGGCAGCAAGGTCCTCTTCCAGGGTGGCTGTGGTGGGGTTCACTGCTGGATTTCATCTTAGCAGATATCAGGGCAGTGGCTGGGGGTATGTACTGGTGTTTAGGAACTGATCTCACCTCTCCCAAGGCTGACATGAAGTCTTTGCTGCTTTGACCATGTCAGGCTTTCCACAGGTCTCTCTGCTGGCTCCATGTTTTTATCTAGGGGAAGCTTCATATCTGAGGCTTATTCTGCTTAGAACTGTCACTAGGGTGTTCACACAGAGCCTCAGAAACAGAAACTGGTTTTCTTGGAGATTTTGGGGCCATGTCAGCCTTTCATTTAGAGGCTTATCTAACTGCATTCAGAATCAACACAGAGGTAAATCTATGCCCATCAACTCCACAACACCTCAGGCCAGCTGGCTGGCCACATTCACTCTACTTCACCCTCTCTGCCTATAGAGTATGATGGTTACCTCTGAATGACATCTTGGAAATGGCCCTTGGTCTGAGACAACTCCCAGATGATGCCTAGGAATTGCTTAGCAAGTGTTATTTGCCATGGACCAAAAATGTGCCAGGAACCATGCTAACAGTTCAACAGCATAGATAATTAAGATGTATTAAACAGAAATGTTTGCCTGTTAAATGTACTGCAATAAAGACAGTCACAGAAGCTATGGCTTTTAGCTTATAGGAATTATATGGCTTTTAGCTTATAGGAATTATATGGCACTGGAAATAACAGGTTATTCAAAACTAGTATTGCAGTACTCAAGGTGTGCACCTAGAAGTTTGCATTCATTTAAATAAACTATTTTTAAACCACAAATTTAGCTAAATTGGAGAAATATTTTCAGGGACTAAAACTCAGGTCTTGGGATTCTTACCTTTGATTAACTTGTCATATTGTTCTTTTGTTTGCAAAAAAACCTCTTCAAACTAAAAAGGAGAGAGAATAGTGTTACACTGCTGTATTTGAACACTTTTCTTCTCTAAGTGACTGCACATAACCATGCACAGAACACGGAGTCAAGTAAAACGTAATGGGCCAGATCTTCAGCTGCTCTGTTTGAGCCCAGATGTCCTGAGGATCCCACACACACCCTGACAGCTGATGGGGAGCAGAAGGGCCTGGCCACTTCTGCATCAGGGCACTGATTCAGAAATAACCTAAATGCAGGTAGAAACAGAGAGCAGGCATCTACAGGAACAAGACAGGTTGAAGCCAATGCCAAGGAAAACACAAGGTAAATCAAATATTTCTAACCCCACCCCAGTCAACAACACTCTTCTATTAGACACACTGCAACTGCAAATTAATAAGACTGAGTTAAGGTGTTTTTGCATGGCTAGAAAAATCAGATTAAGCATAATGGGTCAAAATGGGGCTTTATTTAAAGGCCCTTCAGTAATTTCTTAAGAGTATTGATACTAGCCCTAATAAACTCTAAGCTCAGCTGAGTTTGCATCCCAAGTATTAACCACCAAACAAAGTAGTTACAAAAATGCAGTCCCACTGGCCAAATGAATTTCACCACCCTCATGGAGCTGTTTATCCTCCACATCCATGTTAAATTGTTCCTCAGTGAAGCCAGCTGAGAACACCAGTCTTTAACACTGTACCAAATGCAAACCCACCTCCACGCCGGCTGCCGCCAACAGCCATCGTATGGGCTCCATTCGCCCCCTTCCATTCAAGTAGGTAAGCCTGGGCTTCCCCGACATGCTGCTGCGCTCCTGGTTCCCTGAAAAAAATACTAAGCAGAAAACAGTATCTCTTAAAACTGGTGTAAGCACCATTATTTTGAAGGGAGAGGGCACCTTTTATTCTCACTATGCCTGTTGAAGTTTAAACCTCATCTGCTTTAAAACATAAAATGAGAGATGGACTGATGACACCATATCACCTCTGTTAGGAAAGGAAAGATGTGTGAACCTGTAAAGCTGCCCCAGTGCTACTAGGGAGGTTTGTTATGATTATAAGCAAACACAGACATGTTTAAACAAGCAGTATAAGTCCCTAGCTACAGGGGAAATCTTGCTGCATTTTAAGACAATTATACAAAGGCACTGAAAATCCTACCACATCCTCGTGGAGGTTACTCACCCTCATTGTCATCATCCTCACTGAAAAGATGAAAAGAAGTTCAAAGAAAACATGTTTTACTGGTGTGTTGAACTTTGTCTAGCTTTATTAGGCATATATGCATTTTGCAGCTTCAGTTGCAGTCCACTTCTTTCCTCAAATAGGGGCAAATGAACTGTTAATGTTCCTGTTATTTCATGAAACAGGATGAGCTTCCTTGGCAGTCCAGGCAAGCCTGTCTCCTTGCTGCTTTTGGCAGCCTTGAGATGTCCCTCAAAGCCAAATCTGGAAGCATTGGCTTCAGGTGCTCCCAAAAGTATTCCCCAGGGCTCGGGGAACCTGCGTGCCCAGGGAACAGGCACATAGAGGCTGTCTGACACTTGCTGCAGCATCACCTCTCTCAGAGTGTGCAGCAGAGACAGTGTGTTTGTACCAAGCTGTTTCATATGTAGGGACAACCAGCTGGACTATCTGTGCTGACACTTCAGTATAAGTATTTCCAAATTCAGGCCTTCATTTCTCTGTGCTTCACTGCCCTAATTACCAAAAGAACAGAACTAGCAGTCCCCTTCACAAAGATGTTTGTATCATACACTAATGTTTGGAAGAAAAAAAACCTTTAAAAGAGATATCCGAATTATGTCCTAATGACTCAGAGTAGAATGCCTCAATTAAAAAATTAATTTTACAGATGACCCCAGTTTTCTCAGAGCTAAAAGCCAAAGCTGCAACATTACATCTGCCACACTTTGCATCCACTTGACATTTCTCATTTGAATTGGGCTTGGTACACTCCAGTTTATGTTTTCTTCAAGTCACAGTGCTTTGTAAGTGTACTTAAAATAAAGTACATTTGGAACATATTTTGCCAATACTTGATTTTAAAGAATAAGATCGAGAGTTCTCCCTTGAGCAATTTCAGTAGAACAGAGCCATGTTACTAGAATAACTAGGGATATTTTAGGTAATTTAGAAAATATAATCCAAATACACATTAAGGAAAAAAGCATAATGTTCAGTTTTAAAGTGTCAATAGCTGTTTCTAATTACATTTGCCTCTAGGACAGTGTTTTATTAATTTCTGCACGTTCTGTGACAAGCTTTCACTGTAGGCCAGCTTATCTACATAGTTCACAACCACTAACTAATGCCTCTTTCATTATCATACTTCTCAGATATGCTGCATCCATACTACTTCAACACAAATTGCCCCAACTTGTAATGTGCAGAAACTTAGAGTAAATAAAACTTTTCTTTTAACTAAAAAAGCCAATTACCGCAATACCAAGCATATGAAACTTAAACATCTTTGAAAAATTACCTATTGCTTGCAGAACAAAAGTACAGGGAGTAAAAGGCCTTAGGTATCATTTTACATGAACAAGAAATTCTATGGGGCTTTAAATTATATGAGAAGAGCAAAGACAAATGGAGAATTAAAACTTGTCATCAGATTCTTTTTTCTTTTTTAATTAAGAGTAACTCTGTCAGCTCCGAGTGGATTTTAGTTGTCTTAAGCTTCCAACACAGGAAAAAAACCCCTTGTTTTTTGGTTAAAAGTCTCCTCAATCTCTAGATCGACTGCATGTATCTCCATTGACTATACAGGGACCTGATACTGGTAGCTCACATACAGGCAGCTACTTTCAGTTTGTGGGTCTGGACCAGAGTATTGCCTGAGAGCTCGGTTTAGTTGCCCATTTCTGTGTGACCACTGACTCTTGAGATTTTCTAAAGGTCAGCAGATACAACCCTTGACTTACTGGAAATCATGCAAATTTTTCTACTTTAAATCAGCAAACCTATTCATCCAGAGTCTCGATGCCTTTTTGCATCTGGAGGAGTGTTCAGCTGACATAGCCAAGGCTCCCTCGAGACTTCACTCAGATCTCCACTGTTTTTCTAGTTTTAGTAAAAGACTTCCAGGATGAAGTGTTTAAAAAAGTTGATCCATTTTTGACAGAGTATCTTGATGCTTTATTAATAACAAAGCAATCTTCTATAGCTGTCACCCATTCCTTACTGTTTGTCTCAGCTGGAAAGAGTGTCTCCACTTAACTTACAACATTTATAAGAGAAAGGTAGAATATCTGGGTTATCTGCTAAATTCTTCAGCAAGAGGAGTAGCATTTATCTGAAAACCATGTTAAAATCATTCAAACTTTTCCAAAACCAGCTACTAAAAACAAATGCTTTTTAGGAGCTGTAGGATTCTGCCACCCCGGGTAAATCTTTCAAGCAAATAGCAAAACCCCTGATACCAATTATTATCCAAGATGATGGAGAACCATTCAATGGACAACTAACAAGGTAAAAAGATTCAAGCTGATGAAGCAAGCTGCAATTTTCATAGACTACCAGACTATGCACAAGAAGGGTAAGGAATAGCCTCAGGGATGGTAACTAATGTTGAACCTTGCTACTCTTACTCCTTTCACCTGGGGAAGGAACTGCACATCACAATTGTGTAGTAACCACCCATGAAGCATAAAATGCTCAAGCTGATTTAACAGATGTGTTGTTTCTAAATCCTAATCTGGAACTGTTGGTGGATGGTCATATCTGAGTAGCAACAGAGTTATTGAATAACTGCTGTGAATGAAGCAGTGGAGGCTTCACCACTTAGTCTGAGGCTGAGTGCACAAACAGCTGAATTATTTGCATTAACAAATGTCTATTAGCTGTACAAAGAAAAGACTGTAAATGTTTATGGTGATTCTCAATGTGCATTTGGAGTATGCCATGCTACTGGGCAGTTATAGAAGCTGTGTGGGTTTATAACTTCTGATGGAAATAAAATATCAAATGCTTCACAAATTACTCAGCCGTTAAAAGCTATAAAATTGCCAGAGAAACTTACTATCATTCATCAGCCAGACCATACCAGCAGAAGGACAAAAGAAGATATAGAAAATGGTCTAAGAGATATTGCTGCTAAAGGCACAGCACCACAGCCCTATGAAATACTTGTCTTACAAGCAGTCCAGTGCTCTGAGCTGGTGTTGTTTGTCCTTGAAAAGATATGTCTGACTACTCCTGCTGAAGAAATTGACTCTTGCAAAAGACAGAACCAATCAAAGTTTCGCAGGGAACCTGGAGAACAGATGTGGAAAACCTTCCTATTTTACCTAAGCAATACCTGATTCTCACAGTGAAAATGCATCACAATACAGGGCATTTTGGGACTACTGCACTAGCACAGACACTGCTGAAGAATTGGTTCATGTCAGGAATTTATGCTGCAGCCAAATAAGTAACTGCATTTTGTATGCACTACCCTAATATCTAGCAAAGACCTCAACAAAAAATTTGACTATATGCAAATGTTTTTATTGTTTTTGTATAAACTCTGTCTTTCCATCCTATTTCCTAGTGAGCCTTAAAAATACACCTGTCCTGAATTTCTCTGGGCATGCATCTCAGGGATCCAAGAACAATTTAAGAGGACATATCCTTCCAGAAACAGCAGTACCTGCATTCAGCATGAAGTGCCCTTTAGCCCTGGAGACGGGATCAAAGTCCAGTGGGCCATCTTTCCTGCTCAAACACGGAAAAGAGCAACACAGTCTCCTGCACACTTTCACCCTCCCACACTTTGTCCCATCAGCAGTTTCATGGCTGCCTTGCTCAGCTCTGGACTGCACTGCAGGATTAATTTCCTGGTTAAAACTTGTCTTTTCTCTGGTATTGTCTCTCCTACCGCTTTCAGCTGGTGCGTAACTATCAAGCCATGCTTAGTCTATCTGGCACACAAACTGAAGAGAGAAGAAAATTTACATTACCCCACCAAATTTGGAAGTAGCTTCACTTAAAATAATCACTCAAATGCTTTAAGAAAAAGGAATTTCTAAGTCAGTACTTACCTTCTGGACTTAACTCAGTCTCCACCCAGCAGAGGCGGGTTCCCCAGGGCTGTTTAAACTTTGCAGATTAGGGGAGTTTCTGGTCATACCCAATTAGAGAGAAAAACTCCCAAATGCTTTTAAGCTTAAAGGCGTATGGCTCTGAAAATTGACGCCCAAGGCACACACTGTCAGTTTGCTGATTTGACTAGACCATGAAGGTAACCTCATAGTTTCTATGGTAGCCATCTGTTTGAACTGCTCTCTTGGAATTTTGGCAGCAGTTTACCCAAATACAAGAGCAAGACATTGAAACACTGAGAAAATTATAGATTCTTCTGGGTTATATTTAGGGTGTTTGAAGACAAACCACTGAAGTTTCTAGGTTTGTTTCACTACTTAGCAGTAACCCAGCTTTTTTATTTTTAGTGCTGTATGGCACAGAAAAGTTACCCAAAGTATGGGATAACAGTGCTTCATTACTTTGAAATATAGTATCAAGCTTACTTAGTGATAACTTGATATAAGCCATTTTTGTCACAACCTCACCCCATGTCTTAAGGCAATAGCATTAATTTTGGAAATTGCATGCACATGGCTAATACTCAGAGATGAAATAAACTGTGATTTTCTTACCCTGTTTCCATGAGAAGTAACTGTTTCAGCTCTTCTATCTATATTTCAGGTGAAAATACCAAAACTGAAAGTGGATACAAACAGACAAAAGGGTGGCAGAGCAGAAGGAAATGGGATTTGGGTGCCAGAGATCGGGGTCTCTCCTCTGGCATAGACCCACATGTGATATTGGGCATCACTTTACACCCCTGCAGCAGACATCAGTACAGCTAATCTGAAGATCTGTTCCCAGAACCCACACTGTTATCAAAATTATATTTATCTGTCTAAAGCCACAGCACCTCACAATGGGGAATCTCAGGACAAAAGTCTCTAGCTAACTATCTTGGGGAAATCCTTCTAAAGCTGCTACTTTCTTTTTCTTCACAGCTAGAGTTTCCTTATGGTTTCTCTGCCTGGTAATTGGTGGCAGTCTCTTCTAGAGGATGCACTTCCAATAGAGGCTACTTGCAAATTTGTAATTTATGTGCTTCAGAGGTTGATGGCATCAGCAAAAAAACCTCTGTATGGTGCTTCTTTACACTTTGCCTAATTTTAACTCCCTCTCAAGTTCATGATTTAATGAATAAAGCATAACATTAAATGCATGCTTCTGTATTTTCTATGTCAAACCCAGTTACCACCAGGTTACCCCACACAAAATTCCCGAGTAGGGGTCAAAAGTCCAGCAGATGCCCAAAACAGTTTCTAGCAGGCAGCATGGGTACAGCACCCTATTTTGGAAGGTCTGAGTGTGGTGTCAATGCTGAAAGCAGTGCCAGCCAGTGGTCCCTATATGCCTAAACCAGCAATACAGATGGGGCTAAAGTAGGAATGGGGCACATACAGGTATAGCTGATTAAGAAAGGAGCATTCGTTCATACCTGTCTGTGATGGCAGTATTAAATCAAGATTAATCTATTCCTGCTTTTGAGGTCTTTGGTATCAGCACCTGAGTGAAAGAGCTGGTTCAGGAACAGTGACCACAGCAGAGCATGTGTGTGGCTGTTGTCACTTGGTCCCCTCTGCAGTCTCAGATGCTGACAATGGCAGCAAAAGGCTTGACAAATGAAGAATGGGAGGAAGAGGTCCTTGATTTGAGGTTCAGGGAAGAATGGTCAAGCAAAAGCATTCTGACGCTTTTTGGATTTGCTGAACATGTCCACACCCATCCTTGACTGTTGTTCCCCTTCTACACATTCCTGTTTGACAGAAAGACTTTCCCTCTTGTTTTTATTTTGCTTCCAGCACAGCCTTTCATAATGTAATTACAAAGCTCCTTTGACATCTGAAGGTATCGTATCAATGAGGTTACTGCCATCTGTTAACTTGAATAGCTGTTCTGAACCTCTAGAGCAGAAAAGAAAATAAGTTTATTTTATACATGATTTGTTAAGCCACACCCATGAGTTTTCAGGCAGCGGGCATGGGGCCCAGGTGCCACTTAAATGATCTGGGGTTGGGCACAGCCATATTTTAAATAACGTGTACACCATGCCCTGGCATGTCAGGTTCCCACTGTGCTCTGTGGACACACTTCCTTGTGCTGTAGGTGAGACCAGTTCAAAGTCTTCTCGAAATGTGCCTACGTGCAACCCTCACAAACCACTAAGCATCTGGCTTGGGGGACCATGCCTGATTACAGCATCCTCTCAGAGGTAAGCACAGGGTACATCACTAACTGCCACTAAAGAATTAAACACAGGAAGGTAGGAGGATTATCTCCGTGCTGCTTATTGCACTCCTAAACTGAAGCACGCCACCACTGTGATAAAAGTAATTAGAGTCCACGTGAATAGTTAAAACAAGTCATGCATTACTTAAGCTTGGACTTGCTGCAAACTTTCAGTGAGTGCTCTGGTTCTGTTCAGGAAGTTTTACTGGCTGCCCAAAGACAAGGTTAACCAAGACTTGTCACCCTCACACATATTTCTGTAAGCTGTTTGGCACACAGCCAGACCACTGGCACAGAAAAGTCTGATTTACACCCATTGTGCTGCTGTTGAGGGGAGGTTAAATGGAGAGCTGGTTTACAGAATGTTGTAATTTGGATTGTTTAGTCTTTATTGATCTAAATATCTCGGTATGGTCAAAGGGCTGATTTATCTAGGCACAAGATAGGCAAGATCAAGGTCTCAAAGCCAATTGAAAAATGACTTTAGTAGTACAAGTTTCATTGTGAAATATTTATCTTAAATAGCTCATGTATTATAATGACTTCATATTTTGATCAAAACTTGTGTATGTTTCCTCTTTCTGGTCTCTGGTATGTTCTGGAAAACTTTCTAAGACTCTCAGTTTATGTGCATTGTTACAACTAAAACTACTACTAATCTAAATTCAGGTTTAAAGAATCTTTTTATTTTCAAAAGAAGATATAAAGAAGTAAAGCAGAAATTTCAGTCCTATTTTTGTCTATGTTGACCAATTATAAAGCTGGACAATAATTTCGGGTTTTTTTCCAATTAAAAATACTTTTTACAATAAAATAATTATAAAAATTGACCACTTGAACAAATTTAAAATCAGCTCTCATCCTGTAAACTTTTTTTTTTTGCTTGTTCTGGTCCTTTTAAAATAAAACCAGATTTATTTATACTTCTCAGACAAGAGAAATAGGTTTTATTGACCACAAGTCCATTTCTTCTCTTATAAAACACTTTTGTTTCCACTGAAGTTTTTTTCCCTGGAGTTCATCAGAATTTTCAGAAGACTCCATAACCCTAATACAGATTTCAGTATTAATATATCTTCAAAGATAAGTATTCTTGCTGATGCCTGAAAACCTGTCTAATGCAGTTTTACACTTTTTTGGATGTCTTTTAGTTGTTAAGAAAGACAATCTGGCTGCATTATAAGTTTGAGGCTTTATTCTTCGTCCTTGTCGTCCCCGGATAAAAGGTGGAAAAAGGCGTGCAATGTTTACAATAACATACTTTTATCACACTTAGCGCATTGATTTCTAAGGTACAGAAAAGAAGGTGCACAGGATCTACTTTTTATACTGTTACACACATTTTTTAAATTTACACACTCCTTTCAAACCTTTTAATAACACACTATTATTGTTAAATATATACCAGTATATATTCTACAAGTGGTGTTAGCTTAAAACAGTTTTCTCTATCTTATTTTTATCTTTAAGTGCAGGTACTCATCACAGGTATTCCTCCACAGGAATTAGCAGCTTCTTTTCTCTCCTTCCCAGGCTGCCCAAGGTCTTTTAGTGGATTCCTGCATTATCTCAGAGGCCTCTGGCTGAGCTGCTGTTTCATGGCCTCTAATTGGAACATCTGTTTGGTTCCCTACATATTCTCTCCTTCCCTTAAACCCTCTTACACAGACCTGTCAGCATAAAAAAGAGTCAATGAAACAAGATTAGTGACACATTATTTATATAGCCTAGAAGTGTCCCACCTTTAAGATGCTCTTTATTCACTGTTTGGTAGCATGTTCAAAATTATAAAATGAATGGGCTTTAATGACACTTATAAGTAACGATCTAACTGTGCATTTACCTTTCTTGCAGATAATGTAAAACAGTTTGTGAAATGTAACTTGGCTTCTTCTCTAATGATGTTTTCAGCATGAGACTCATTTGTTCATGTTGTATGTGCAAGACAGTACAAATCTAGAAGAACAAAAATCAAGGTTTAAGTCAGAAAAGGGGTTGAAAAACGACAGCAGATGGAACCTGGCTTCATTTCATGGTAAAAAAAATCTGTTAATGCTACAGCTTGTTCATCTGGATTCATCATTGCTTTGTTGGCTGACAAGCTGGAGGAATTTCTTATTTGTGGCAATGTTGCTTACTCTTGCTTTAAAAGCCTAAGATTGAAAACAATGCAACTACTAAGAATAGGGGTGGAAAAAGTTCTAATCGTAAGCCAACAAAAGCCTGTTAAATTAGCTTCATCTGAATTAATTAATCTTTCTGCACTAGGGTGAAGTCAAGCTCTTTGTCCATTCCATTTCATCTTCTCTTGGATGATGTTTCCAGGTATGAGATTAAATAGTTCTGCTGCAGTGTAGAAATTGGTCTGAAATGGAAAGTCGTAGTTATAGGGTAAGCAATATAAACAAATCTGCAACATAACTAAAAAATTGTCCCCGGTTCTGCATTAGGATTAAGTGATGCCTATAGCTAGGTAGCTCGTGGGTAAATATTAGAGCTGGACATGCAGTTACAACGATGAAAATTTGAAATTTTCACTATACACCATGGTCACATTAGCTTTTTTGGATGCCAGTGCCATGCTGGGAGCTGGTATATGGCTAATCTGCACCATGTCCTTCAGTTTCTCCTCCTCTGAGTTTTTGCTTCTCACATCAGTGGGAATTTAGGCAAACTGCATTTAACTAGACTAAATGCATCCTGTTTATTCATTCACAGCATACTGATTCTGTTCACTGAATTTCAACTTTCCTCCCTATAGTCCATATCTTTTTTATCTTCTGTGAAATGTGCTATTTTTCGTTTTAGTCCTTTCATAAAAATGTGAAATAGTGAAGTGCCATGGCTCTAATTGCTGTCTTC